CACATGTCCCCCTCAAAGCTTTTCGCGCTAACCCCCTCCAAGTAAACATCACCTTTTCTGATGCTCTGGGCCATGAAAAACAACTTGCCCACATGCTTCTCAAAGCCCCCTTTGTGCTTCACAGCATGCATCGTTTTCTGGATGAGCCTCCTTAGCCTGATCATCCAGAACGTGGGCCCCTGAATATACTCTTTACGTGGACGGACAGCCGGCTTCGCAAAGGCCAACTTCGCTGCATCAAGTACTTGTCGATTGGTTGCCTGCAGCTGAGCATTCATGTCAGATTGCCAACATGGCAACTCAATGGCAGCAACTTTCTCCTTAAAAATCTTACGCGCTGCCTCCTGCTGCATCTTGTTGCAGTCAAGGTTGGTCCCATGGCCCACGGCCCGAGACGCCTGCACCTGCCATCGCAACCTGCCTAAGACGGGGAAGTGGTCTTCGCTTTTTCTGATGAGGTCGATGTGGTGCTGTACCCTAACATCCCCGATGGACTGAAAGAGTTGCTTATTGACAGCCAAGAAATCAATCCTATGCTTACTCTTCGTTTTATTGTCCAGGAACGTATAATCGTTCTCGTTCCCAAGGAACGTGTTAGCAGCTTTCAACCTAAAGTCCCCCAACCACTCCAGCATTTTGAAACTACCCGCCGAGCACGTGCCTTTCGTCCCTTTACACCCAGCCTCCTCGGTCCTTGGGCCCCCTGAAAGATGGCAGCTGCCATCCACAAAGCAAAGGCTGGGCGTCCATTTCTCACACACCTCACGCATTTTAGCCCAGAAATCGGCTTTGGTGGCTGGAGTGTTCGCTGAATGAGGCGCGTGCGCCACCAAAACGTACATGCTCACAACAGGTGCTTCAATCCTCGCCATGAGGAGTCGCGGAGCGGCAAAGACCACTCGCACATGCTGCATGCAGAAACAGACAGGCTTGCCTCTAGCTCTTCCGTAGGGAATGCCCACCTTCAGCCAGAGCTCCACACCTAGTCCATAATTCTCGTGGCCAGCTGAAATGCAACACCAGTCTCCAGCTCGCTTAGTACTTTTCTCGTTTCTGCCCTCTTGAATCCCCACAATGTGCACTCCAGACTGCGTCATTTGAGACCGAAGCGCGGCTGCTCTTCGCGCTCTATTGCGCCCCTTCACTCCTCGGCGGAAGACGTTCCGAATTGACTGAGTGTTGAAAGTGGCTACCGTGAGATCCACAGCAACCGAACCACTTCTCGTCGGCTGAGCAGAGGCGGCTCCTGGTTCTTCGGCCTGGGCGACGCACGTGGGCATCTCGCCTCTCATCTCAAATTCATTCTGCAGAAAGTTGACCTGTGGGTAGGCGTGGCCGTCCTGATCCCCAGGCAGCCATTCCCACAGGCGCACGGTGCTGAAGTCAACAGCCTGGACCCAGCTTCTCGGGGTTTCTGGGGGAGGGGCCAAGAGCTTTCTCGCCGTAACTTTAGCCACGTTATCGGCCAATATATTGGCTGGATGGCCGCAATGGGCCTTCACATGGCTGGTGCTCAAGTTGGCCTCTCGGGCCGTTAGCTCCCAGACAACCCCCGCAAGCTGGGCGATATCTCGATCCGACGATGGGATGCTCGTGCCCTCTGCCGCCCGTATCGTCCCCATCGAGTCGCTATCGACCTAGACCTGGCAAGTCGGGCGCTCGGCGAGCACCCAAAACAAAGCTTGGAGCGCGGCCAAGCACTCTAAAGTTGCGCTCGTGGCACACGCTGGCGTGAGGCCCATAGCATTGCACTCAGTCAAACCTCCCCTCATAACTCCTCCCAACATGCACTCATCCCCTTTATACAATATCACTACTACAGCCCATGCTCCCATCCCCTCCCCTTGTGGATAGTGCGAGCCGTCCGTGAAAAAGTGGATGCTCGTGGCGTCGGCGACGTCGCCGCACCGCGGGTAGCTGAGCAAGAGTGTCTCAGCCTCCTGCTCGAGCAGGTTCGTGTCCCGAAGTTCTTGCACGCTCAGATGCTGGAAGGACCCTCTCCCCTGGCGTACTAGCTGCGCAATCGTGGGCCCAGCTTCCTGACTCAAACCAAACATGGGGGGTGGATTCGACAAGCTAGAACTTCTGGGGAACGCAACATCCCTGCACTCACCAGGCTCAGAGCTTGTCCTCTCAGCTGCCATACCACACGGGTCAGAGCTATTCCCCCTTGATGTCGATGTCTGCTGCCCCAAATCGCGAATTGTCTGGTCGGCTGTCAGCTGGTCAGCCCTGCGATTTAATTGAATGTTATTGTGCAAGCATTATTCCCTACTTGCCCTGGATAGAAAATCCCCACACCTTAAAATCGAACGCTCTCCCGAAGTGTTTTCACCCTGGGTTGAAACCTGAGACGACTCCCGCCAGGTATGTTCACCCGGCTTGGTCGAAGCATTTTCTGAAAAAAACAAAGTGAATTCTTCTATGCCCCGAAGCCTTCACTACACTACTCACCTGATCACCAGCTGCATGACCCCGCTGCCGTTGATGAGGGGAGTGTTGCTCTTCTCGGTATGCAGGTCCAGTTATGCCCCGCCCGCTGCTGCTCCCTTCTTGGCGACCTTCGGGGCTGGACTGCGGATGTCTCCCTCCGAGCCGTCCGCTGCACTGGCTGTGGGGGCTGAATCCCCATCTCCCTGCGCTGCCGCGCAGGCTGCCTCGATGCGCGTGACCTCCCTGTCGATCTGGCTCGCGCTCAAGTCCTCTTCCTTGATCTCTTGCTTCGCTGCCGTCAACGATTCTGTTGGAGCTGCCGCCGCCAAGCACGGGTCCTCCTGCGTCATGCCTCCATGCATTGGTTCCGTCGGTGTTATCGGCGATACTGGTGCCACCGCTGGCGGCGGCTGAAAAGGCTGCGTAGGCACCCAAGCTGCTGGCTCCGCTGAGGCTGGCACCGTCGGCGATGTGATGATAATTGGCTGGCCCCATCCTGGCGGCGCCCCCTGTCCTGGCTGTACTGTGGTAGGCGTCGGCTGCGGTGGCATACCAGCCTTGGGCGTCGCCGTGCCTCCCACCTGGGATGGCGATGGAGCTCCTCCTGTCGTCCTGTGGCCTGCTGGAGTCGACGGCGCCGCACCAGCTGCCTTCCCACTCGGCGGCCCACCAGCCGCCCCTGCGGTAAACCCCACCGTTGCCGTAGGTCCCGCTGACTCCGCTGGCGTGGTAGGTCCCGTCGTAGCCTGATAGTGAATCCAGTTCAGCATGGACGTCACGATGCCCTCCTGCCTCTGCTGTCTCTGGTTCATATCGGTGATGAGGTTCATCATCTGCATCATCTGTTGATCCTTTGCCGCATCCTGTGGCGGCTGTACTGGCTGCGGCGCTGGCGTTGGCCCTGGCACCTCGGGGCCCCTCACCGCAGGCTCGGCTGCCCCAAGCGGGGGCGCCGCCGCCGCAGGCCCTGGATGGGCCGCGGCCGCCGCGGAGGGCCCCATGGTGCCAGCAGAAGGCCCCGCACTGGCCGCGCCCGCCATGGTCGGCCCATGGGCCGCCGCCGCCGCTGCCTGCTGAGCCATCCACTGCTGCTGCGGCGAAGGCCCCAAGAATGTGTGGGGCATCTGCTGGTGCATCGAGCCTTGCGCACCCCACATGTAGTGCGGCGGCGGCCCCAAGGGCCCAGTGAGCCCAGCTGATGCGTACCCCGCTGCTCCTGGAGGCGCCGCTCCGAAGCCCGACGCCGAAGGCTCGCCGCCGCCTCCTGGCATCAGCTCGTCCTCTTCCTCTGGCATCTCCATCAGCTCGTTCATGCAACTCTCTAGCTGCGCCAACTCCAGCTCGATCTCCCTTTCCTGCTCGCGCAGGTCCTTGGCCCTCGCCTGCGTGGCGACCAAGCGGTCCTTCGCTTTGTCCTGCTTGAACTTTATCTCGTCTTTCTGCTTGCGCACCGACAGGAGGCTCGTGATGCAGCTCTTCAGCACCATCAGCTCCATGTCGTGGCGCCTCCCGTCGTCCTCCTTCCCAGCCCTGCGGGCCAGAATCGCCATACTGGCGATATCCTTCATCTGCTTCTCGATCTCGGCCTTGTACGAAGCCACGTCGTTCGGTCGCTGCGGTGTTGGCCGATACGCACTGTGCGACTTCGCTGCCCGGGCTCAGGCCAAACCCTCTCCTCCTCCTCCTCCTCCTCCTCCTCCTCCTTCCTCCTCCTCTCCTCCTCCCTCCTCCTCCTCCTCCTCCTCCTCCTCCTCCTCCTCCTCCCTCCTCCTCCTCCTCCTCTCCCCTCCTCTCTTCCTCCTCCTCCTCCTCCTCCCTGCTCTCCTCCTCCTCCCTCCTCCTGCTCCTCCTCTCCTCCCTCCTCCTCCTCCTCCTCCTCCTCCTCCTCTCCTCCTCCTCCTCCTCCTCCCTCCTCCCCCTCCCCTCCCTCCCCCGCGCCCCCTGTTCTTAATTGACCAGAACTTGTGTTAGTACATGTGGCTTTCTAACACCCCCTTATTCCTCCTCCTCCTCCTCATCATCATCCTCCTCCTACTTCTCCTCCTCCGTTCCCTTCTCCTGCTCCTCCTCCTCCTCCTCCTCCTTCTCCTTTTCCTCATCGCCCTTCTCTTCCTCCTCCGCCTTTCTTAGAAGTCCTGGAGTGCGGGGGGGGGGGCCGGGGGGGGGGGCTTCGAAAACCCCCCGTGAATTCTTGAGAAGTCCCCGCCCCGCCGCCTCGCCCCCTCGCGCACGGCGCCGAAGGCATCCAGTAGGGGGCCGGCTACAGTGGAGGCCCATGCCCCAAACAAAACCGCATTTGCCTCCAGGGTGCCCTGGGTTTCTTCTTGAGTTTCGATGGTTTTGTTGCTACGGAAAGCTTGACGTTTCCACGCCAACAATCAATGGACGCAGTAGGGTCTCACGGTCGGGTTTCTTGTGGAAGGTTTCTTGTGGTCGGGCCCCTACCGTACAGGATGTAGTCACCTCGGAATTGATTGTTCCGGCCAGCTCCACCATTGGCCCGTGGATTCGACAGGAAAATCCAAGTTCGGGGGGAGTCAATTCTGTAGTCAATCCCCTACCCGAAGGCAGTCGGAGCACATGTGGGAGATGGCCCTCGGGAGGATGGCCGAGCACGTCTTTCCTTACAGGAAGACGATGAGCCTGCTCGCCGAGCCGATGCAGGACTACATGGTCCTGGCGGCCAGGCACCATGAGAGCCTGGTGTGGCTGCTGAAGCACCCTGACACGGACAATTTCAACAGGCTCATATCGCTCACTCAGCCGAACACGGACGCCGCGGTGGAGGGGGCTCAGGAGGGTGCCAGATGTCAGAGAAGGACATGCCCATACCGCTGTTCGTCCTGGAGGGCATTCGTCGCATCGGGTGGAGTCGCTTCGAAATCATAGACGCTCCGCGTAACCCCACCAGCCCATCCAGAAACGATGCCCAGAGGAGTTGCCTCAATCAGGGAAGTGGGCAGCACTCAGAGGACGGGTCCCCCAGTGGAGGCTTCTTGGAGCGTCTTGGGGGCCTCTTGACGGTCCCGAGGCCTCTTGGAGCGTCTTGGGTGCCTCGGGGAGCTTCTTGGGGCCTCTTGGGGATCTCTTCGGAGCCTCCTGGAGGCCTCTTGGGCGCCTCTTGGGGGCTCCTGGGGCCTCCTGGGGCATCTTGAAGCGCTCTTGGGGGCCTTGGGAGCGTTCTTGGGGCCATCTTGGAGGACATCGATCGTACAAGAGGGGAGTTTAAATTGGTGGTGCCCTCCTAAGAGGCCAACATGGGGCCAAAACCGTAGTAAAACCCATGATGTTGGCTTCCTCGCCGAGGCCGTTTAGGACGCCCTGACACCTCGCGACCAGCCTTGTCCAGGTCCAGGGGAGGGGGTACGGGGAGGGGTCAAGCTGTCCACCCGCCCGCATGCCGTCTGGCTCACTCCCACCGGCCCTCCCAACGCATAAGTAACACCCGAACCTGAGCATCTTCAGCGGTCGTCTTTGGATGGACAGCTACTGGAGACCAGAGCCGACCCCAGGTCTGCGACGCTTGGGCGAGGTGCGCCATGCGCGCCAGGCACCCTTGGGGCCCGAGCGTGCCAGGCACGCCTGGTGCGCCAGACGCGCCAGTTGCTCCGAGTGCGCCAGGTGTGCCGCACACTCCAGTCGCGCCAGGTGCGCCATGTTCGGGGCACGCGTAGACTGCGTCAGGTGCGCCTGCGCACGTGACAGCACACAGCGGGAAACATGTCGGCCCCCGCCATCCTTGTCGAAAACCAATGCCCATCATCGTGTCTGGTGGGCCTGCGCACAACAGGCCGCGCGCCACCACCCCCGCCGTCCCTGTCAAACACCATTTGACAGTGATCGCGGGATGGCCGCGCATGATCCAGATATAGCCGCGAGGTGCATGTTGTATTGGTTTTGGCAGGGATGGTAGCCCTGCGCACGGCTGGGAATATGCTGGCACCACCCCCGCCGTCCTTATCAAAAACAATACAAAGTGTTCGCGGGCCCGACGAACATGACTCAAGACTTTGCCCCAAAGTGTATTTTGCATTGTTTGTTGACGGATGGTGGGGGGGGCATCGGGTTGACCGTGCATGCTCCAAATGTGGAGGAGGCGTGCGGTTTGTATGGTTTCTTGCCAGGTATGGTGGGGGGCAGGCCCTCATGGAGTCGGCATGGTTCTTGGTTGGACGCCGGCCGGGGGGGGAGGGGAACAGTGCTAATCCCTTCCCGAAAAGGGGCAGATGGAAGACAAAACACCCTAGACCACCTACGCCCTAAATGGCTGGTGGGATTCTGATTAGAACGCGCCCGGGGAGAGGTCCGGGGAGTGACGGTAGGGGCACATTTTTCCAACCAGGGGGACGGATTCCAGAGAGGAGGAGGAGGACAGAGGAGATGGTGTAGGAGGTTGCGGAGGAGGAGGAGGAGGAGGAGGAGGAGGACCAGCGTAAACCCAGGAGTCATCAACGATGTTGGAACTAACCCTCCCTCCAAGCTCCCTCTTCATAGGCCCTTACGGAACAGCCTCTTTGGAAGACACTCGTTTGAAGATCCTGAAGCATACCAAAACATTGTTCTCGGGATTTCAACTTTACGTATCAATTTTATTGCTGCGTTTTGACGATCCAGAATCGTGCCATGACGGACTTGTTTTTGATTTGATTCCAACACCGCGAATCAAATTAATTGTTGCACCCGCACAATCCTGAACCCTTCCAACACATTTGTTGGGTACGTTGATCATGGGCATCCGTGAAACTCTTGTAAATCTGTACAACGAAGGTGCGCGGCGCTAAGGCGAGAGCCACATTTTGAAAACCACCCGCCCTCGATCCGTGAAACCTGTTTGCTAATGTTTAAAACGAATGTGCGCGGCGCTGACGCGAGAGCCACATTTTGAAAACGCCCTCAATCCGTGAAACTCTTTGCAAATGTTTACAATGAATGTGCGCGGCACTAAGGCGAGAGCCACATTTTGAAAACGACCCGCCCTCCATGTGCGAAAGTGTTGCCACTTGTCAATTTCAGGGTCATAAATGGTGAGGAAGTCTGAGGCGAAACGCCCGGCCCGGCCTAAAAACTGGCCTCGGGGTGCGACAGGGAGGAGTTATTTAGAAGGAGAAGGAATGGAGAAGGAGGAGGAGGAGGAGGAAAAGGAGGAAAAGGAGGAGGAGGCGAATCGAGGTGGGTCTCAGCTCCCCCCCAGGGGGTGCCCGAGCAATTCTGCAGAGGCACGCCAGCCACCACAGACAGCCGCCCTCTCTCCCTCCTCCATTTTACCTTAGCGTCGTGTCCTCCGTTTGGTCGTCTCGTCATTCGCCTCTTGGTTTTCTCTGCCCCTCACCCCAGCGCTTCTGGGTGGAGAGGGTTCGAGGGCATGGGCGCACCCGCGCGAACCTGTCCGCAGCTTCGAGCTTTGAGGCAGAGGATGAGCAAGAGAGAGGAGGGGATTTTTGGATTGCGACGCCGGTGAAGCTGGGAGCCTGTCAGCAAGGCTGGCACGCAATTCGTAAAACAGCAGTGGGACGATCAATTTCTGCTCGGGATGTAGAGCACGCCACAGTGAGGCATGCAGCAGTTGCAGAACAGGAGTCATAGACTCAGTAAGAGGAGGGGGTGGGGCAGGAGGGCGAGTCGGCGTCACCCCAAACATACGAATATTATGTGTGCGTCGCGCGCACCGAGAAATCCTATAGCACACGCGTCGTGGCGGGCGCTCGCTGGCCGTACCGCTCGGGAAATGACGTACTGTAAGGTCTGTGCGCTACATGGTCGGGTCGGACGTGCGCCCCCGAGGAGGACATGCGGGGCGAAGAGTGTTCGTGCGCGCCCCAGCGATCGGCGGCGAGCCCGGGGGGAAGCGAGGAGGAGGAAGGCCTTCTCGGAGGGCTCGAAAGTCCCCCCCAGGCCTGCTGAGTCTTGACCTCACCACCCACCAAACCACCCTCCATTTCCAGTGGGGGGGGGGTCGGAGAACATCGAGAAAACACGTATGGAACCCGTACCCCCCCCCCCCCAAACCCGAAATTCGGGTCTTCGGGTTGGGTTGGGGTGGTCTGGTAGGTAGTCATGACCTGAGCCTTCCCCGAAGGCACAGAAAAGACCTCTCGGGAGTCGCGAGGACCTCTGAGAAGCCTCGCCGCCTTCTGAGGAGGCCTTCTCCTTCTCCCTTCCCCCCCCCCTCGCTCGCCGCCAAAGCGAGGACGACCCCGTGATCCTCGCCGCCATCGCGTCCCTCAAGCAGACGCGCACCTTCCTGGCCGAGGCGCTGTACGCGAGGCCGCCGTACGCGGGCCTGCGGGAGCTGGTGCAGGAGCTGGCGCTGCTCCAGGTGGACGAGGCCCTTGCCCCCCCGACGGCCGCGTCGTGAAAGAATCGCGCGTGTGAAGTGGGCCCACGACCGCTGCTGAGGACCTGCCACTCGGCGGCGAGCGAGGGGGGGGAAGCGAGAAGGGGAAGGCCTTCTCAGAAGGCGTCGGGGCTTCTCAGAAGCCCTGGCGCCTTCCGAGAGGTTGTTTGTTGTGCCTTCGGGAAGGCTTGGAAATCTTCGCAGAAGGCCACGGGGACGTCCGAGCCTTCTGAGAAGGCCTTTTCCTTCTCCTTTCCCCCCTGGGCGTGCCGCCTGGGTGGGCCTGCGGACTGCTGAGAACCTGCCACGCCGAGCGTGCTGAGTCGTGGACTGATCGTCCGAGTGCCTGAGCAGCATGTGCGAGGGCACCTTGCCGCAAACTGTTGGGCAAGGTTGTGGGCCAGAAGGAACATCCACAGGAAAACGCAGGCAGTTGCCCGGGATGCGGGCGTTGCATGCTCGCTCCCTCTCACACCGGGCGTCCTCGCCGGGCGTCAGGCCCCAGGTCTCACAGACCGCTGGATCCAGCTCGCAGGCTGCCGCGGAGAGATTTTATCCAGGGGCTCTGGTCGTGTTTTTGGGATGCAACTCCTGGGAGGGCAAATTCTGATTCTGCAACGGTCCGAAGTCCGGCTTAGTCCCGCTGAATCCCGCTTAATCCGAGGCCCACTCCGGCGCAATAGCTCCCAATGGGGCTTAATCCTCCTGAATCTTTCCGACAAAAACCTCCCAGTAGTTGTTTCCTAAGTGTTTTGTTCGCGACGTTGCGTGCCTCACCGTGTCAGATCTCAGCCTGCGGCTCGGGTCGATGACGGCCTCCCCGCCGCCAGAGGCGAGCCCCGCGAGCACGGGGGGGGGGGGCGAGGGGCGACCCGGCACCCTCGGGGGGGGGGTCGGCGTCATCCCATCCACACACTCACACGCGCGGGGGGGGCACCGCGCGCAGGAAGACCAGGCGCTCACAGGTCACTCAAGGAGGAGGAGGAGGAGGAGGAAGAGGAGGAGGAGGAGGAGGAGGAGGAGGAGGAGGAGGAGGAGCATCCTCGGATCACCCTGCGTGGGATCTGGCCGCACGACGTCGAAGAGAGGAGGGGAGGAGGAGGAGGAGGAGGAGGAGGAGGAGGAGGAGGAGGAGCATCCTCGGATCACCCTGCGTGGGATCTGGCCGCACGACGTCGAAGTGTGCACGAGGGACGGACGTCCGGGCGACGACCGGCTGTCCGCTGGCGAGGCGTGCGGCGTCGTTCCAGAGAGGGCCTCGCCATCGAGGATCGGAGGAGCTGGCGCCTCTTCCTCTGCGGAAGGCGGAGGGAGGCCTCCTCGTCCTCCTCCTCCTCCTCCTCCTCCTCTTCCTCCTCTTCCTCCTCCTCCTCCTCCGTAGCCATTTTGGCTCAAGACCCATGCTTTGGCGGGCTGAGCCCGCATTGGCAAAAACGGATACCGCTAGTCCGCGGCAGCTTTCAACCTGTCAGGAGGTCCCTCACTCGAGGGGTTCGCGAGCCTCCATCATCCCTTTCCTTGCTCTCGCGCCATGGCTCCTGCTGGCCCTGGTGAGTGGGAGCGCCGCCCGTGGGTCCAGTCCTCCAGGCCCCGTCGCTGGGGGGGCACTATACCTGAGGGCGGGGTATCGGCAGACAAGTGGGACAAATGGGACAGCCAGCGAGCCAAGCACGAGGAGAAATGGAAGACGGTGGCTGGGCCCAAAGGTGAAATTCTATGCCACCACTGTGGTTGCCGAAAGAACTCAAAAGGATCGATGTGCTGCAAGCATTGTGGCCAAAAGCTCGGTTCTCGACCCCAACCTCTGGAAGACCCTGGGGCCCCCAAGACGTCGGACGAGATGGGGAAGGGAACGGGCAAGGGGAAGAAAGGTTATAAAGGCGGCAAGGGAGACCTGTTCGGTGGCAAGGGCACAGGCAACCTCTCCTCGGCACTCCCTCCTGGACCAGTTCCCGAGATTCCTCAGGCCAAGGCTCTCGAACTACAGCGTTTGGCTCGTGAGGCTGGGGACGCCGTGGGGGCCGCGCGCTATGGTGCCCTGGCGCAGAGGGCGGCTCCACCCCCGAAGCCGTCGGGGAGGCAGAGGCTCATTGCCGCAGAGCAGAAGCAGGAGAAGCTCGAGAAGCGCCTCAACAGTGAGTTCGAGAAGCTGGAGCGCTGGCGTCGGGCGACAGAAGAGCTGGCGGTCTCGGTCAGGGCCCTGGCCGACGAGCTGCAGGCCGCCGACGCCGAGGTGGCAGCCGCCCTGGTGGAGCTCCAGAGCCAGCACAGAGGACCACCAGCGACGGAGTCCAGCGGCCTGGCGAGCATCAGCCTGCGCAAGCTCATTGACGGTGAGATGGAGTTGGCCAGCCTTATTTCTTGTGACGATTTCATTGATGTGGAGGCTGTCAAAGGCAGCTACGAGGTGTCCGAAGAGGACCTACGTGAGCTCGAAGAACGCAAGAACGACGTGGCGAAGCAGATGCAAGAGGTGCTGGGATCGGTCTTTCGGCAAGCGCTGGAGAAGGCCAACTCCGCCCAGGACCAGCACAAGGAGCACCTCAAACGTCTTCAAGCAAAGCGACGACGTACCGCTGATGACGGCCCTGGGGAACAAGCAGCAGCCACAGGTGGGATCGAGCCTGGACCTGGTGCATCGCCGAGCCCAGAGTCAGCGACGCCGTGCTCACCTGGCGAGGCGACGGTGGATGCGGTGGGCAAGGCTGCCCCACAGGTGGACATTCGCTCTCGCGTCGCTGCTGACGGTGGCGTGCAAGCAGCCAAACGGGCGGGTCTTTAGCAACAGCGTGAGCTCGACACAGGTGGGGGCGACGTGGTCGAGTTCGGCGACTCCCTGTTCCTGGTCATCTCTCGGTGCCGTTCCTAAGAAGGCGGCTGCTAGCGCCCCCGCTCCTGAGATGAGCAACCCGAGGGATCCCGCCTGCCCCGCGGCAGGGGCGTGTCCCAGGCGGGCAGCGGCGCTGGAGGGACGGGCACTGACGACGAAGTCGATTGCCACGTGCGCATCGTCGAGGCCATCGTCTTCGGTTGAGTGGTCATCGTCGGGATTGGGTACTCCCTGCGCTGCGGTGTCGCCGTCGGCTCCAGTGTCGGCTACTCCCTGGGCAACGGTGGCGGCGTCGACTTCACGGGCGGTGTCTACCAGTTTTGTCGGATCGGAGTCCAGGTGCGCCTCGAGCCTGGTCTCCTCAGAGTTAAATTGCGAGGGCGAGTGGCCACGGGCTTCGGCAACAGGTCAGAGCGCCGAGTACGTGACAGCCAGTCAGACCGCAGCCGTCAAGCCCAACCAGAGCTTGGCGGCCCTCCCGTCCAAACCTTTTGTCGGATGCAGTAAGGAAAATTCAGCGTCAGAACGCGGCAGCCAGGTGCTCCTCGAGCCTGGCTGTCTCAGAGTAGATTGTGAGAACCCACCGTGGGAGTCTGGAGTTAGATCGCTAAATCCTGGGGGCAACCGATGCTCGGACGAAGTGCCCACCCAGGTTCAGTCGCCACGTGCTGGGTCTCGAGCCAAGGGAGTCAGTGTTGAGCAACCTCATGGAGAGTCTCAAGCAGTGCTGCAGCAGAAGCAAGTCATCTCATTGGTGGAAGGGCTCCCTACTGAGGATCGCGGTGCTCTAGGTACGTTCAGAGTGGGCACTCTGAATGCGAATACGTGGCCAAGGGCGCGGAACACCATGCCATGGATTGAGAAACAATGCCAGATGCCGCATGTGTTATGCATTCAGGAGACCGTGCTGGACCAGTCGGGGGAAGCAGGGGCCCATCAATGGTCTCGCACTTGTTCTCGGAAGCTGGCGCTGGGATCGGCCAAGCGCACAGGAGAATCGGCCAGATCTTTCTCAGCAGGAGTTGGCTTGTCTGCGGCCTTGGGCATTGGGGTGGCCAAGCTCCAGGTGCCGGAAAGATGGCAGCACCGTGTGGTGATGAGACTCATGACGGTTGGCACGCACTCGTGGATCATCATCGGCTCAGTCTACGGCGTCGACTCGATCGGCCCCAAGGGCGAGAACCTGGAGTTGTTGGAGTTCCTGAGCGCCTTCCTGGGGGCGCAGCGTTTCCCGTTCTTGCTGGGAGGCGACTGGAATCTAGAACCCGAGGAGATCATGGAGATAGGCTGGCTGGACCTCGTAGCCGCCACCATCTTCGCACCTGGCCTCCCAACCTGCAATGGCAAAGAGTATGACTTCTTCATTGGCTCCCAGGCCCTGGACGCCTTCCCCATGTCGGTGGAGGCCAGGGTGGACACGCCGATCTCGCCACACTGCTACGTGGAGATCAAGCTGGAGGGCCTCAGAGACGAGCCATTTGTTTGGGTGGAGGCGCCCCCACGAGCCTTTCCTCTGGCCGACCAGGAGGCCAAGAGGAAGACCAGGAAGAAGGCTATGTGTGCCAAGGAGACCGAACTCACCTCGACCACGGAACCGCCAATGGTACCTGTGCTTGACGAGTGGCATCTGGACGCCCCCGTGAGCTCGGTCGAGGAGGCGGCAGCGAGGTGGTTCCACGCGGCGGAGAAGTACCTGGTGCAGTTGTTCGAGATTCCGTCCTCGGACAGAAGGTTCTATGTCGGCAGGGAGAAGGGCGCGGTACTCAAGAAGAAGAGGCTGGTGGATTGTGCGAAGTCTATTCTTGAGCGCCACGACGAGTCGGACACCAGAGCTTGGCTGAGTGCCCTCAGGCTTTGGGATGCCCTATGTGTAGCATCGTCAGCTCCGCCTGGTTCGAAAGCAGGCAGACCAGAGCACTCCGCGAGGTGCGAAAGGCAGCTGCTGTCCCTGAGGCTCCCTGAGGCCATCTCGGATTCCCCCTCCCTGCAGGCAAAGGATGTCCAGAAGTGGGTCGCCTTGGCCAAGAGGGGAGGTCAGTTGTCGGCCTGGTTTCGTACTGTGCTTGCGGAGGAGGTGGAGATGCGCAGGCGCAAGGACTCACAAGCCAGGAGCAAAGCCTGGAGAGAGTTTGGCGAGCTCGCAGCTGAGGGCTCTGGCAGAATAGCGCACGCGATTTCCAGGCCCAAGATGCTGGAGGAGCCGCCCACGCTGGCCAAGGGCAAGCCCCACGGTCTGGTGGGAGCTGCGGCGATCACGGCGGTGCTGGAGGAATGGGAAGAGCTGTGGATCTCTGATGACAGGGCCCAGGAGGCAGCGCCGTCTGACTGGAGTTACCCGTGGAAGCTCGACCAGATCTCGGAGGACCAGATCGTTCAGGTCTGCCGCTCCTTTGGCGTGTCTACTGGGCTAGGCTGGGACAACTTTCACATGAAGTTGGTAAGCTTCCTGGATGGGGTGTTTGTGCGGAGGCTACAAGAGATTATATCAATATGGGAGCGCAATCCGCACTGTGAACGCATGTGGGTCACGATCAATGTATTTCTGCCTACGCCAGGAGGAGGCACACGCCCGATAGGGCTCTTGTGCTTCTGGGCACGCATTTGGAGCAGATGCAGGAGGCAGTATGTCAAGAGTTGGGAAATGTCTGTGGATGCGAAGTTTTTCTGGGGAAAAGACGCCACGACCAGTTGCGACAAGGCGGCGTACGTGCACAACATGCTGGCCTGCTACGCCAGAAGGAAGAGGCTGTCGGCCATAACTGTGTTCTATGACATCCGCAAGTTCTACGAGAATGTAAGTCATCAGCAGCTGCGAGAAACAGCAGAGCACTACAACTTCGACGGCGCCTTGCTGAAGGCGCTCTGCTGCCTGTATCGAGCACCACGCCGAGCGCGCTGGACAGGGGGCACGAGCAGGGTCAGTCATCCGAATGGCACTATCGTGGCTGGCTGCAGTGCGGCAACAGGAGTGGCTAAGCTGATGACCCTGTGCCTCCTCAAGCGCCTGGCTGTGGAGACGCCTCCGTGTCGTGCGCTGAATGTGGTCGATGATTTGACGACGCATACCATCGGAGGCCCCAGGACGGTTGTTGAAAATACGGTCAAGAGTTTCGAGATTGTCACATCGGAGCTGGACTCAAGGAAGTTGCCTATTAGTTGGGACAAGACGAGATTCATGATGTCCGACCGCTCTCAGCTGTCTGCTTTGATACAGGATCCCAGGTGGAGTCTTTCGGACGACAAGCTGGTCATCGCCCACCGCGACCTCGGCGGCGACTCGCTGGACGGCAGGGCGAGGAGGGTCGGCACGCAGACTTCGAGATGTGAGGCCGCCAGCAGCACGGCACGTGCCCTACGTCAGCTGGGGCAGAGTGAAAAGCATAGTAGAGTGTTTCGTGTGGGAGCGCTGGCTAAAGCGTCTTGGGGATCCCACATTTTGGGGATCCCGCCGACCACCCTCCATAAGCTTAGGGTCCAAGCTGCGAGATCCTGGGGCCCGCTTCTTCCTGGCACCTCCCTGGGCTTCAGGTTTCTTTCGGCCGCTCGCCTCTGGCTCAGAGACCCGCTTTTGGTGACGGTGACGTCGGCTGTAAAGGAATTCGTCAGCGTGTGGTGGGCCCGCTCGATTTCCAAACCTGTGTTGGAAGCTTGTGTCCAGGACGCCCTTGCGGTCCAGGGGAGCAGGGCCCCCTGGGGCCAAGTCCGTCAGCCTGTTGCTGCGCTTTTCTTGCAGCTGGCTCGGATCCGCTGGAGGTTCGATGTGTCTCGAATGGCCCTGGTTGACGACCTCAACCGTGTGTGGTCAATTGATAGGTTTTCGCCCAAGTTTTTCACCCTTCTCCTGCGAGGCTCGGTCGTTCGGGCTATCGAGCGGGAGGAGCAGTTGAAACAGTTCGATTTTGGGATGTGGAGCGGCCCAGTGTTCTGGCAGCCCATTCATCAGCTCCTAGGGCGGAAATGTTCTGAGTCGTGGACCAAGTCGCACAAGGCAGCTCTTTCAGCCCTGTGCGCGAATGTGTACTGGTGCCAGCACAGAGTGTGCGAGCACAGCCCAGAGGCCCCTGACCAATGCCAGCTTTGCAGAGATGGTAGAGGCACGTTGTACCACCGCAGGTTTCAGTGCGTGGCTTTCGCTCCCTGGAGACGCGAGAACCTGGATCCCGTGGTTGGGAAGGCGGCTCGTGCGATTGGCCATCTTCCCACTCCTGCTGGAGAACTTTTTAGCAGATGTCTGTTCCCCAACCCTGCGGCCTGGGTGGAGCGACCCCCCCGCGACCCTCTGAACCCGTGCACCAGGCACTTTCAGTGGCCTCAGGACGGCCCCCTGTTCATTCCCGAGGGGGCCCATGTGTTCACGGACGGGTCAGGCTTTGAAGGGGAGCTCACAGGTCTCGGGACCGCGGGTTGGGCTGTTGTGGTGCTGGACAGGTTAGGAAGGACCCTCGCTGCCCTTTTTGGTGTCGTGCCGATTGGGGAAGCGCCTGGACAGCAGGCACGCGATGGCGAAGATTTTGCTGTACTGATGCTCTCCAGACGCTCGGTCCTCTCCGCGGGTGTTTCGCTCCATGTGGACTGCGCGGCCACGGTCGGCTGCCTCCGAAACCTCGTGGGGGCTGCTGGGGCGGCCTCGGCCCGTGCCCACTGGTGGGCGGAGATTGGGGACCGTTTAGAGGGCTTGGAGGTGCATCAGATCCCGTCTCACTCGTCGACGATCGATGTTAGGGAAGGCCGCATCACTGAAATGCAGCGTTTCGGGAACTCTGAGGCTGACAGACTCGCCAAGGAAGGAGCTGAGCCATTCCGAATTTCATGCGAGGACCGCCAGTTTGTTACTGGCTATGCTGAGTTTGTCCGTCGTGCAGGGCTGTACAGTGCCAGGCAGCAGGCGGAGTGTAGAGAGATGGCCCTGAACGATCATCAAGGGTTGGAATGGCTCGGCTACGTCCTCCTGGACGCGGTCCCTGGCCTCCCCCTTCCTGGTTCGGACCCTGGGGATGGTGAGCCAAGTGCGCAGTGCGGTGTGCCTCAGGGTGTGCCTGGTGAGGGGGAGGTCCCTGGCGAGACTCCTGGTGCGCACTCTGGTGAGGCGCCTCCCGAGAACCCCCCGACCCCAGGAGCATGGCTCCAGCTGGGACACTCCCTCGAGCAGGGGGTGGTTTATGAGTCGGACGGCTGCACGTATCACGACACGATGCTGTGTTGTACGGCGTGCGGTGCAATGGCACACTCCAGCACGAAACGGGGGAATCTGCGTTCGAGGTGTCGTCCTGTCGCGTCGTGGGGACGGGGGTTCTACCTTGACCGATTTCGTGCTGGAAGGTATCCTGCGCATAGGAACCCTAGAGGGCTCACTATGGCGTGCACAGGGGCCCCCTCTCCAGAGGTTCGCTCGGAGTGGAGGCCCTACTTTGAGGCCTGGTCCCAGGGCCGCGACCGCCCTCCGAGAGTTGCTCGGGGGGCCCAGCCCTCGCGCCGCGAGGGACCCGCTGCCGACAGTGCGCGAGGCCTTGCCCTGCTCGGGCTGTCGAGGGCGGAGGTCGTGGAGCTCGGGGCCGAGGTCGAGGCCAGGCGCTGGAGAGGTGGTCTCCCCGTGGAGGAGGAGGATCTCTTCGGCTGCCTGGGCCCCTCCTAACTTGTTTGTTTTTCTTTGTTTGCATGCGAATTGGGTCACTCCCTTCGTGGTCGTGGGCGTCCTCCTCCTCCTCCTTTTCCTCCCCCTCCTCCCCCTCCTCCCCCTCCTCCCCCTCCTCCTCCTCCTCCTGCTGCGGAAGGCGGCGGAAGTAAACTGGGGGAGGCTCCACTGGCGGAAGCCTCCAGCTGCGCCAGCACTGGTTCTCCTCTGCGCGATGGGGGGTGGGGAGGTGGCGCAGGCGGGGCCCGCGGATTCGCCCAGCATGGTTTACTTGGCTGACTCTCCTTTTCACTCTTTTCCTCGTCCTCCTCCTCCTCCTCCTCCTCCTCCTCCTCCTCCTCCTCCCTCCTCCTTCTCTCCTCCTCCTCCTCCTCCTCCTCCTCCTCCTCCTCCTCCTCCCCTCCTCCTCCTCCTCCTCCTCCTCCTCCTGGTGGTCCTGCGTGCTCCTGTGCATGCCCCTCTGGCCGTGGCCGCTGCGCTCCCCGTGCGGGGTTCCGCCGGGAGGCGGTGCACTCGGCGCTGCTCTCCGTGCACCAGAGCTACGGCCCCATGATGGAGCTCATCACCACGCACTCGCGGACGCCCGGGGTGCAGGCCGCCCACGACCTGCGCAGGATCTGCGAGAAGGGCCAGTGGAGGGTTGTGTGCACGAGCAAGGAGCCTGCTATTCTCCTCCTTCCCCTGCTCCTCCTTCTCCTCCTCGTCCTCCCCCTTCTCCTCCTCGTCCTCCCCCTGCTCTTCCTCCTTCTCCTCCTCCTCCTCCCCCTGCTCCTCCTCCCCCTGCTCCTCCTCCTCCCCCTCCTCTTTCTCCTCCTCCTCCTCCTTCCCCTTTCCCTCGTCCTCATCTTCCTCATTCTTATTCTTAGTATTAGTGTTATTATCATCATTGTTATTCGTATCATCAGTGTCATCATTATTAATAGTATCGTTCATCATTGTAGTATGCTTCTTTTTATTTTCAGTGTTATCATTATGAGTATTATGAGTGGTGTTATTATTATTTTTATTCGTATTATCATTAGTATTACTATGATTAGTATTGCTAGAATCACTTAATTGTTTCGTCGTATGATTCATAGTATGTCTGTGTTTGTTCTCTCTCCTTCTTGTTCTTAGTATTCTCCTCCTCCTCCTCCTCCTCCTCCTCCTCCTCCTCCTCCTCCTCCTCCTCCTCCTCCTCCTCCCCCTCCCCCTCCCCCTGCTCCTCCTCCTGCTCCTCTTACTCCTCCTGCGCCCGCTGTCGCGCGTGCGCCGGCGCGCGAGCCCGCCAGCCACGGCTCGCGGCAGAGTCGCTTTCGCTGTCGCCGTCGCGGTCGCCCAAGGCGTCGTCGTCCCGCCAGCTCCTGGCGCCGGGAGACAACCATGTGGTGATCTCACGCCGGGCGGTCTCTGACCTTTTTCGGGCCGGGCGAAAGGGGGGATTGGGAAAGGGGTGGTTACGACATTTGCTGCATGCAGCTGGTTTCGGCCTCACCGAGGGGCCCATTCCTCGATACATAGCTGCCTCCCGGCGCCGGGAGGCGCCGGGAAAATCAGCCACGTGAGCTGATTCTCACCCCCCCCCTTTGCTATCCCCCCCTTTCGCCCGACCCGAACTTTGTTTGCCTCTGGGGGCTCTCGCTGCTTGGCCCTGGGGCCGTCACCAACAACGACCCGGGATCTGGGCCCCCCTGAGCTTTAGTCGGGCAGGCCCCTCTACAGGAGGACTCTTCAAGAATAGTCGAAGAATCATCAGGTGCCGATTTGTCGTGCTCTTTTTAGCAGCTTGAGTATAGTTTCATTATATTTTCACTGTTCTTCCAAAACCCGCCTGTAGGAGGACATGCCCGACCTAACCCTGAGCCAGCGGCACGGGCGCCCCACGGCGCATCGCAGAAGCGACTCCTCCCCAGACGCCTTCGCGTTGCGCAAAAATCGCGACGGGAGGTTTTTCACTATCTTCAGCTCCCCGGGGCCCTTGCTTGGCCTCGGGCCTGTCGAACAACGACTCGGGAGGAACAGCCGGTCCCTGGGAAGGAGGCCAGACCTCTGGGGGTCGACACGAGGACAAAATCGCGACGCCCGGGGGGTCTGTGCCCGCAGACCTCCGAGCCGCCGAGCGCCCTCGACGACCGCCCAAGACATCTCGAAGAGGCTCCGACGGCACCGCCCGCGGCGCGCCCCCCCCCAAGGCACGGGCGGCGCCAGGCTGCCGGCGGCCTCGGGAGGCTCCCCGACGCCGGGGGCCTGGGCCCGTGGCCGTGGCTTTTTCCCCGGGGCCACCCCTCCCGTCGCGAGTCGCTTCCTGACGGCCCAGGGGGCCCCGGGAAGGCCCCGAGATTTGTGTCGGGCGTGTCCCCCTACAGGGGGATTTTCGACGAAAAAAGATACCCCAAACATGCTCCAAGAAGGTCAAAAAACGCTCACAGGCTATTTTTGGATTATCTTTTGACTATTTTGGGGGTACTTTTCATTATTCGTCGAAAATCCCCCTGTAGGGGGACAGGCCCGGCTTCACCCGAGATCCCGGAGGCGGCACACACGTAAGCCCTGGGGCCCCCTTTCTGCTCCAGCCGGGGCGGTGGAAGGCTCGGGTTCGGGGGACTCGGCTTGGCCTGACGGGGCCGCCGAGAACATGGCGAGACGGGGTCTGAAATCAGGCGCGAGCTCCCGCCGGAAGAAGAGCATCCACGTCCTCCTCCTCCTCGTCCTCCTCCTCCTCCTGCTCCTCCTCCTCCTCCCCCGCTCCTTTCCCGCACAACTAACTCATCCCTGTCGCACCCGGAGACGTGCTGGTCGGGCGGGCCGGGCGCGTCGCCAGAGCCTGCTTCCCCAAAACTAGGAGCGTCGAACGGTTCGGGACGGGCCCGTCAAGTGGTGGGTTCCAGAAACCCTCAACCAAAAACCGCGCTTGGGATCCCGGAGGCGGCGCACGGAAGCCCCGCGGCGTGCACGGGCGGCGCGGCTCTATATTCGACCAGCGACCGCGAGAGAGGCACGGCGTCGGGAGTCGGGGCCTTTGGCCGTCTTTCTGCGTCCCTTCCTCCCAGTCTTACAAGGCGGGCCTGTCCCTCTACAGGAGTACGATTCAAACGTAGTGAAAAAATAGTGTGGGATCATGTTCTAATGCTTTCATGCGTTTATCCACGCAATTGGCATGTCTTTGTTTTCTAATAATTCCTTTTGCTTTGTGTTGACACTGTTCATTTTTCTTCTAAAATCCTCCTGTAGTGGGACATGCCCGACCTAACCCTCTGCGTCCCTTCCTCCCATTCTTTGCCGACGTAAAAGGTCGGTGCAGCTTGCGTCCAGCTGCCGTGTCGATGCGCCCGGAATGCACCATTCAGGGGGGACGTTGGGCGTCGCAGAATTGGGGGGCGATAAATTTAGGTCGGGCCTGTCCCCCTACAGGGGGATTTTGAACGAAAAATAAACGTACCCCCAAAATAATTATTTAAAAAACGAAAATCGTATGGGGACGTTTTTTTCGTATTGTTTGACCTGTTTGGGCTATGTATTGGGTATCTTTTATTTGTTGTCGAAAATCCTCCTGTAGGGGGACAGGCCCGACATGGGGGGGGAGCGAGGGCCGCAGCCAAAAAGGGGCCCTGCAGGGGCCCCCTGCAGGGGCCCTTTGGATCGCGAGGAGAGGGCCAGGCCGCCATTCTTCCTCCCAGAGGGCCAGGCCACCAGGACGAATACCCAGAAGATATGGGAAAATCTAGGGAACCCTGGGATTTGTGTGGATCTATCTGTGTGGCCCTGGGCGTTTCCAGAGAAGCTCCTGCTGCGTCTTCGGGGGAGGCTCGCAGGGCACTGCCCAGAAGGAGGCCCGAGGCCCTCCCCGAGCCTTCCGAGCCGGGCCCCCGCAGCGTCTCGCTCTCACTCGGAAGTGGACAGACCTCCACCCTGACACGTCGACTGAGGAATTGGCCGTTTTCGGTTCGCGAGAGGGCGTCGCGGCCGTCGTTTTTTCGGGTCCAGGTCCGTCGGCTTCGGTCCCAGGCCGTTTTCACAAAAGGGAGGATTACTAAAGGGAGGTTTGTCACCGCCGAGCATTGCCCCCCCATGAAGCGGTGCCAAAGGGACGGGTCCGTGGGGCGATCTTGAGGATAGGCTTGCGGGCGGAGCAGGAGTCTGGAGGAGGAGGTGGAAGACGCAGGCACGCAAAAATAACAGTGACTGGAAAGCAGACTGGGTCCTGAAAGTCCACCCTTTGGCACTCTCGGATTGCCTTGCTCCTGGCATTCATGCGTCCCAGGAACAGAATCAGAAAAGTCAGCAGGATTGAAAACGAGCGGTGTTTGACGAAACAGAGGGAGAGATGAGGGAGGATGGAGATGTTTAGACTCTTTTGCCCCTGGCATTCCCGTGCCCATTCCAGTGCCAGGCGCAACCAGGAGCAAATATTACGGTGGACATCATATCAGTAGGGAGCGGAGTCGGAATCATGACTCACATATGTTCCGCTTCACGCTGTCTTATGAAATACCCTCGTGGATTCCGTGCCTACGTCACTTAGCTGCAGTGACGTTATAGTGACTGCTGTGTCCGATCCCACGTCCTCTCACAGTCAGTAAGGAGTCGAAACTTGATCAGCGTACGACTAGTCGCCTTGCAAGTCATGTGTCGGCTTGTGTCGACAAAGCTGCAAGGAGGGTGAGCAGATCCTCTGCAAGCTGCCGGACAGCGAGCTCAACTCCGAGGCCCTGGCCGAGCTTCAGCGGAAGCTGCTGATGATGGACGCCTGGGAGCCAGTCGACTCCAAGGTATCGAGTCAGCACGCACTTACTCTGGATGGGGCAATAATCGCCCTCCCCCTTGGATCCGCTGGGGGGGTTGGGTCGGAACGGGTGGAGGGGAGGTTGGAGGAGGAGCATGAAGATCAGGAGGGGAAGGATGGGGGGGGCGCGGGATTGGGCATGCTCAGTCAGAAGGCTACCCCCCCTGATAAATAACCCATCCAGAGTACCCAGACCCCCTCGCGTTATGAACAAATGACGAGGGGATGTGCTTGTTCACTAGCTTTGGCCCCCCCCCCGGGGGCCCTTGCCAGGCCTCGGAACCGTCAACAAACGGCTCAGGGTGAAAAACCGGTCCCAGAGAGTGGGTCGGGACCTCTGGGGGAAGACGTTATGAAACAGTCATGACGTCGGGGGTCTGGGTAACTAGCACCTGCAGCCAGCTCGGCCTCGTCCTGCAAGCCGTCTCCCTCGTCCCCTCGTCGTCCTCCGAGCCTCGTCCTCCCCCTCGTCCTCCGAGCCTCGTCCCCTCGTCGTCCTCCGAGCCTCGTCCTCCCTCTCGTCCTCCGAGCCTCGTCCCCCTCAGCCTCGAGCCTCGATCATCGGGGTGGGGGGACAAAAAAGAGAGCTAGCACCTGCATGCTTTCGGCGGCGAGCGAGGAGGGGAAGAGAGAAGGAAAATGCCTTCTCGGTTCTAGGAAGGCAGCGGTGCTTCTCAGATGGCCTCTGGCCTTCTGAGGGGTGTTCAGTGTCTCCGCGGCCGGGAAGCTTCTGAGAAGGCCGGGGGGGGCCCCGGCCTTCTGAGAAGGCCCGCCTCCTCTCACTTAAAGTCGGACCGAGGTGTAACATCAAAATCGGTTCGGGCTCCTCCTCCTCCTCCTCCTCCTCCTCCTCCTGCCTCCTCCTCCTCCTCCTCCTCCTCCTTCTCCTCCTCCTCCTGCCTCCCGGCCCGATTCTGCCGCGATCATGGCTCCATCTGAGTGTTGGGAAGGCGCCCCCTGCGCCCCCCCGTTTTTGTTGTTCGGGGGACGCCCAGGAGCCAAGATGGAGGTGGTGCAAGAGAGGGTGCTGGCTGGGGGGTGGGGTGGATAGCATGGCGGGGGCAAGGAGATCTGCCCTGATTTCATGGTTCCCAATGCATGTATCTCGTTATTGTTCCCAGTATCGCACTAAGCTTCTTGTTAGTCTCAGTTGTAGTACTGTTCGTATTATTGGTACGTGGTTGTTGTTGCTGTTGCGGTTATCACTAACAATATTATGTATGTAAGCAAGTGCGTATGTATTAATGTGTTTGTTGTTGTTACGTGCATGTCCTCTATTATTACGATGATGATCATTCATACTTTCCTCGTATTATGATTCCTCTCGATGTATGTTTGTGCATAGTGGTTCTTCTTTGCGTTAGTATTAACAGCGGTTTTTCGTATGCTGTCCGTTATTTGTATTAGTTCGCATTATCATTCCAACGCGTACCTTGGCCCCTCTTGGGCCGCGCACGTGCCTCTGGCCATGATTGGCGAGCCTCCCTCTGGGACGCCCGCGGCAAGAAGCTTGCTCCCAGGACATGCAGATCGAGGGCGAGGGCGCTGCGAGGCTGCTGGCCATGCTCGAGGAGCTGGTGGAGAAGCTGGGGCTCCTGGAGGAGTACGGCAGGTGCACGACCGAACTGTTCCGGCTCGGGCACTTTGCGTACGAGGAGCGGCTGGGAGCCCGGACCCTGTCGCCACGCAGCTGCCCTCATGCGCCCGTGTTGAAACACAGCACGTGCCGTGTTAACACGTGCTGGCGAACGTATCGCGCCAACTTCATGTGTCCAATCTCCGTGCTGAGCTCCGTGCCAGTACGCTACGGGTTGCGTGCGGCGTAATTATCGGGGCAGAGAAGTCGCGTCGTGGGCAAAGTCGCGGCGGGGGGTTCTTTGCCGTTTTCGGCCTCTCGGGGGCCCTCGCCCGGCCGCGGGACCGCCAACAACGGCCCAGGATGAACGACGGGTCGGGTGATCGTTTTCTTATTCATTGTTTTTTTGGCGCCTGTTTCGAGCAGGTGATGTCTCCCCCACAGGACTCACGGTTGCAAGCAGTCGCATGAAGCAGAGGTCCGGAGCCAGACCCCCCCCCCTCTTCCTCCCCCCCCCCCTCTTCCTCCCCCCTCCGCCCAATGTGGAAACGCCGCAGAAGAAAACGCTCACCTGGGGGAATCGGTCGGCGCGTTCTGGTCTGGAGGCCGACGCCGTGGGGGCCTCTCCGAGCCATCCCTGGGGCCCGCGTGGGGGCGAGGGAAGGAGGAAGAGGAGGGGGAGGAGGAGGAGGAGGAGGAGGAGGAGGAGGAGGAGAGAGGAGGAGGAGGAGGAGGAGGAGGAGGAGGAGGAGGGGGGGGGGGGGAGGGGGCGGGGGAGGGGGAGGGGGAGGAGGAGGAGGAGGAGGACAGCGGTGACGACGACGACCACCGCCACGACGAGGAAGAGGGGCGCTATGTAGGCCGACGCCGTGGAATGAACAGAAGCATGACGTCGGGGGCCTGGGGCGGACAGAGCCCCCGCCAGGATACGTCGATTACACTGGAGGCCCATGCCAGGAAGCACCCATGCCTCCTCCTCCTCGTCCTCCTCCTCGTACTCCTCCTCCTCTCCTCCTCCTCCTCCTCCTCCTCTCCTCCTCCTCCTCCTCCTCCTCCTCCTCCTCCTCCTCCTCCTCCCCTCCTCCTCCTCCTCCTCCTCCTCCTCCTCCCTCCTCCCTCCTCCTCCTCCTCTCCCCCTCCTCCTCCTCCTCCCTCCTCCTCTCCCCCTCCTCCTCCTCCCCCTCCTCCTCGTACTCCTCGTCGTCCTCCTTCTCCTCCTCCTCCTTCTCCTCGTCCTCGTCCTCGTCCTTGTCCTTCTCCAGCAGAGCAGCGGCAGCACCTCGAGCAGGGTAGAGTGGAGGCCCATGCCAAGAAACACCCTGCTTGGCTCCAGTGTGCCCTGGGTGTCTTGGGTGTCGATGGTTTTGCTGTGGAGAGCGTGGCGATCCCACACCAGAATCCCATGGATGTCCTGGGGTCTCAGGGTTGGGCTTTTCGTGTGGATGGCTTCTTGTGGTCGGGCCCCTGCTGCAGTGACTTGTTCGTCCTCGGTTCTCGTGGCCGTCATGTTCCAGGCCTGCGCCCGCCAGGTTGTCGTTTTCATGAAACCACTTGGCATCGCTCGGACGTGTGCATTTTTCCTTCGGCGGGGACCATCGAGGAGCATCCTTGATTATCTGGCGAAAGAAACACGCACGAAACCTAAAAAGAACACAGGGAATGGACGTCCGAGCGATGGCCAGACCACGCTTTGCTAGAGGGGGTCCTGCCCATCCCCGAGCGGAGAGGATCGCTCTGCGCGCCCCGCGGCCTGGGCCACGGGTCGGGTACTGCTGGAAGGGCCCCTGGCCCGAGGTGCCCCCCCCAGCATCTCCAAGAAAACGGAGCTCCGGAAACTTGTTTTTCCTTCCGGGATCAGGCTCCAAGGGAGTCCTCCCCCCCCGGCCCTTCGAAGAGCACCCCTATCACGAGTCAGAAGCCAGGCGAGGGCTGGCGATCCCGTCCGTGGCTGCTAAAACGGAGCTTCGGGAACGGGCACGCTGGCGTTGCTTGGACGTGCGCATGTCGCCTCTAGGACCATCGAGCAGCATCTTGGGCCATCTTCAGAGGATGTTGAAAGGTACCCCCCTTCCCCTACCCGAGCCTGGTTTTCGCATTCTCTGGCTCTCTGGGAGCCCCTCGTCGCCACCGCTGGATTCGCCTCGGGATCGTGGTCAGAGCGCGCCCTAGGACAGGTCCGGGGAGCAGCGGGCAGGCACCAGGAGCGAATCCGCGGACCTGCGGGCCGCGCGACGGCTCCTGACGACAGGGAGGAGGAGGAGGAGGAGGAGGAGGAGGAGGAGGAGGAGGAGGAGGAGGAGGAGGATGTCAGCGGTATCGGCACCTTTCGGTTGTCCCCCCAATCTTGCGAGAAGATGCACGCACGAGGCCGAGCAGTGCACGGGGAGTGGGCGTCGGAGCGATGGCGGGGCGAGAGGCGCAGCACAGAAGCAGCACGAGCGAGACGCGTTGCGGCAAGCGTGCAGTCAACGTCAAGTTTGCACGCGCCCATGCATGTATAATCTGAGCAAATAGGCCGGGCCCCCTCCCGGGGCGTCCTCCACCTCGATCACATCTGGGTTACGCTCCCGGTGCCGCGCTTCCCAGCCTCCTGGGGAGCCCCCCAATTGCCCAAAGGCAGCCCAAGACGGGAAAACGTAAGAATCGGCGGCGAGGGAGGGGCTGAAGCGAGAAGGAGAAGGACCTCTGAGAGCGCGGCGGGACTTCTCAGAAGCCCCTTCCGGCCTTCTGAGTCTCCTTCCGTGTCCTCGGGGGGAGGCTTGAGAAGCTTCTCGGAGGGCCAGGGGACTTCCGAGCCTTCTGAGAAGGCCCGCCCCTGCTCACTTCCCCCCCGGGCTCGCCGCCGAAAGAAGAGGAGCATCAGACGGTGCTCTCGGTGGAGCCCGGCAAGCCTGTGGCAGCCGTCAAGACTGCGCTCGAGGGGCTTCAGCAGCAGCTCGCCGACTGGCGACAGGCGGTGGACGATGCGCGAGCGGAGCACTACTTCCTGAACTACTACACGGTCCAGGAGCTCTTCAGGGGCAAGGGCGGGGGGGATCGGCTCAGCGGGGGATGCATCGATCCTGAAGCGCCCATTGATCGCCGATAGGGGCGTTCCTCCTCCTCCTCCTCCTCCTCCGCCTCCTCCTCCTCCTCCTCCTCCTCCTCCTCCTCCTCCTCCCCCGCCTCCTCCTCCTCCTCCTCCTCCTCCTCCTCCTCCTCCTACTCCTCCGCCGCTCTCTCGACGATGCGTTGCTGGTTCAAGCTCGATGCTCGGTGCGTCAAAGATGGGGTCCGGAGGGGTGGAAGTCCTAAGGATAGGAAGGGATCCAAGTGTGGATTTAGGTTGTCTGAGGCACCTCGTCCTCAGAACCCCATCCTTCAGGACCCCATCTTCGA